AAAGAAGAAAGGTAGGGAAGATCAGTTGCGATTTTTCCGCCAACAAGAGGAGGGGGGGGGGGGGGGGGGGGGGGGGAAATAAAATTTAATCGTGGTTTATTTCTAATTCCATTACGGTGGTTTACACACAATGCTAAAATGTAATAATTTTCCGAGATATTTTTCTCATTCTTTAGTAAATTATACTTTTTTATGCGTTTGTTGTAAAATGACAAATTCCTAAATTTACAGCCAGGCAAGAAATATGCCTTTTGAGATGCCTACATGTCAGGGCCCGCGGAACGGCGGGGATCGGGAGCTTCCAGCTTCCTCCCCCACCCCCGAATTTTTTGAAAAAGCATATTAAAAATATTAGAAAGAGAGCAAGAAAGACAGAGTAGTTAAAGTAATTAAACGCCTAAAACGGGGGCTTTGCCCCCGGGACCCAACTAAGGGCCCTAAGGTGGGCCCCTTGATACTCATCCGACCGTAATTTAGTGCCTAAAACCCTTGAGCTTGTGGGGGCTCCGCCCGCTGGACCTCACGCAAATCAATGTCTTGCTAGTGTCACAAATAAGGTATACAAATATGTTCATCTGACCGTAATCAAATGCCTAAAACCTCAGAGTTTCCGGGGTTTCCACACCCTCGAACCCACCAGGGGCCCTAAGGCAGGACCCTGAATGCTTATCTGACCGTAATTTATTGCCTTACAAGGTATCAAAATATGTTCATCTGACAGCAGGCGCGTAGCTAGGGGGCGGTGGGGGCGCCACCCCCCCCCCCCCAAAAAAAAAGTCGGCCCAAAAAAAGAGAGAGGATAGTAAAGGAAGAGGACGTAGGAAGAAAAGGGAGCAGACAAAAAACACTTTTGAAATTCAGACAAAGATTAAGAGTCAAAAACGGTACAACGATTATCTTCTTTCTCTAATAATTAATAAAATATCAAAGCCTTCGCGCAGGAGGGGGGGGGGGGGGACTGAACTGAGACAAGGATTACGAGACGAGAACGTTACAGCGAATCGTCTTCGTTCTCTAATAATTAAATGAAACGTCAAAGCTTCCGCACTTCACGCAGGAGAGGGGGGGGGGGGGAGGGGGGAACTGAATTGATCCAAGGATTCAGAGTCGAGAACGGTAAAGCGAATCGTCTTCTGAAACGTAAAAGCTTTCGATCTTCGCGCAGGAGGGATATCAAGGGGGAGCTGAATTCAGACGAAGATTATTTCGAGAACGGTACAACGATTCGTCTTCTTTCTCTAATAATTTAATGAAACGTCAAAGCTTTCGCGCTTTGCGCAGAAGGGGGGTGGGGGAACTAAATTTAGACAAGGATTAAGAGTCGAGAACGGTACAACAAATCGTCTTCTTTCTCTAATGATTTAATGCAACGTCATAAGCTTCGCGGAGGATGGAGGGGGAAACTCGCCCCTCCCTGCACTACCCCCTATTACGTCACTGCTGGTCACCATGACGTACCAATATTTGGCTCGCATAATTTCAAATTAATACAGACCAATAGGAAAAAATTATGCCTTACATGAGTAGGTTCATATGCTATTTTTTTTATCCCATAATGAGAGAGAGAGAGAGAGAGAGAGAGAGAAAGAGAGAGATGGAAGTGGAGAAGGCTGAAGATTATAGAAATAAATAAATTGCAAGAAAATTGAAATGAAAAGGAGCAAGATAATAGGCCTATTTCTTTCCTTTCTCTCTATTTTTTTTCTTAAAGTTTATATTTGGTTTCTTTTTCACATTTTTGTTTCCCTACTCATATGCCAGGCGCGGATCAGGATTCTCCATTAAGGGGGGGGGGGGGGGGGGGGGGGGGGGGGGGGGGGGGCCGGAAATTCCAAAATTGCGCAGACCGTTTTTTCAAGGTCATATTGGAAGCACCATACCGTACAATTTTGGACATTTTCATCGGGGGGGGGGGGGGGGCTATAGCCTCTTGCCCGAAAAAGTAATTTTCTGGTTTCACAATTCGGCTAGTGAGCGAGCAACAAATTGACCATAATATTGTGAAAGTGTTATTTATCACCAAAATAAACGAGAAAAGATATCAAAAAACTCATATTCGGGCAGCTCGCTGTCACCCCCCTCCCAATTACGCGCGAAGCGCGGAAGCTTTGACCTTTTATTCATTATTAGAGAAAGAAGACGATTTGTTGTACCGTTCTCGACTCCTATTCCTTGTCTGAATTCAGTTTTCCCCCCCCTCGCGAAGAAAGCTTTGACATTTCAATAAAATTATTAGAGAAAGAAGACGATTCGTTGTACCGTTCTCGACTCTTAACCCTTGTCTGAATTGAGTTCCCCCCCCCCCTCACGCGCAAAGCGCGAAAGCTTTGACGTTTCATTAAATTATAAGGGAAAGGAGACGATTCTTTGTACCATTCTCGACTCCTTGTCTAAATTCAGTTTTCCCTGCCCGCGCATAGCGCGTAAGCTTTGACGGTTCATTAAATTATTAGAGGAAGAATACGAATCGTTGTACCATTCACGTCTCTTAATCCTTGTTCGAATTCAGTTTTCCCCTCCCGCGCGCGGAAACTTTGACGTTTCATTAAACTATCAGACAAAGAAGACGATTCGTTTTACCATTCTCGACTCCCAATCCTTTTCTGAATTCAGTTGCCCCCTCCCGAGCGATGCGCGGAAGCTTTGACATTTCATTAAATTATTAGAGAAAGAAGACGATTCGTTGTACCGTTCTCGACTTGTCAGAATTTTCAAAAATGTATCTTTGTCTGCTCCTTTTTCGTCCTATGTCACCTTACTGCCCCTACCGCCTCTGGCTACGCGCCTGCTTTAAAGGGAAAATGAAACAATCATGATTGTGATGGCACACAATTAGGTTAGTAGAAATGAAACGGAAAAAAGATCTATTACACCAACCATGGATAAATCACGGCCGGGAGCGTCATAGTTTTGTGTTATCGGGTGAGGGCCGCGGCCGGCCGGGGGCGTAGCGACCAAGCGAGATTTTTTCAATGTTGAATGCTGAAATTATGCATTCTAGAAAATCTCTGAGCCCAATATGTACGTTCTTTTCGCTATATTTCTTTCTAGCTATATTTCTAAATTTCCTGGGGGACGTGTCCCCCTATCGGGCCCAGGATTGCCGCCCCTGTCCATGATTACTACCAACATGAGTTCAAATACAAGCACAAGCGAGTTGGTATGAGCTGAATCCAAATGAAGGGCAAAATAAGAGTGTGAAGCGGCCCTACCGTTAATTTAGAATTTGACTGTCGAGTATATAACTTCTATTTAAAAGACACCCAAAATATTGTGCCCTTTCAAATTTCTCACTTCAGAGTGATGACCTTTGTAGCGCAGGGGCTGTTCTTAACGTTTAACTTTGAATCCGCGGCTCGAGATTTTATGCGGCCGGCCCGGCCCCCCCCCCTCTATTCAATAATTTCGTTATCTTTTCTCTTCTCTTTTCTTTTCTCTTTTCTTTTCTCTTCTCTTTCTTTTCTCTTCTCTTTTCTCTCTCTTTTCTTTTCTCTTCTCTTTTCTTTTTTTTCTCTTCTTTTCTTCCTCTTTTTTTTTTCCCTTTTTTTGCGCCGCCAATAGGGGGGGGGGCCGCGGCCATTTCGCCCCCCCCCCCTGGATCCGCCACTGATATGCTGTGAAGAAATTATTTCATCTGGATTATATGTTTGTCACGAGCTGACAAAAAAAAATGAGGGGGGGGGGGGGGACTCGATGATAATTCATCATTTGAAGGTTTACAAAAATTTCCATGGGTTATATGCACCCACTGAAGAAAATCCATGTATAGGGTTGCTTCAGGAACCCCAGCACCCACAGATCCCACGCATGATGAGACAAACTCGAGATAAAAACACATTCTTTCACATAGGCCTACTTATTAAACGCCCCCTCACCACCTGCGTTAATTACTCCCTATTCAAATCTGACAGATGCCCTTTTACCTTTTATAAGTGCCACTGTTCCCTTTTCATAAGTGCCTCTTGTGATATCTGATAAAAGCCTTTTTTATTCTTTACTTTGTCACGCGTCCCCTTATAATTTTAATAAGTGCCCTTTTACCTTTTGATATGTGCCCTTTTACCTTTTTAATAAGAGCCCCTTTCCTTTCTCATCAATGTCCTTATGACACATGCCTCCTTTTCCTTTCTTGTAAGTACCCTTTTCTACTGATAGGTGCCCCTTTCCTTTTTAATGATTCCCCGTTTCTCTCTTTCTTTCCGAAAATTATCTTCTGCAAGGTTTGTTCCATTGACTGAACAACCTCTTGCAATTCCTTTCTGTCTCACTTTCAGTCGTACTTGTTACCACTCATTTGCATTCCCTCGTTATCAACTACGATCAACCATTCCATATTCACTCCATTACTGTCCACATTTCAATTGGATTCTCTTCACTCTACCTTTTGCAGCCTTTGCAGAAGCTTTGCTAGAAGTAGAACATTTTTAATTTAGGGTTAGAATTTTATTCAAGTTTTCTAACTTGAAAAAAGGAAAGTGAACCATTGTTTAATTTCAATATCTTGACATAATTTTTTTAAAGACCATTGAATTTAACACTAGAAATTTTAATTGGTTTGCCCCCCCCCCCTAAAAAAACACACAACAACACCACCGAAGTGGTACCAGGGTTTTTGTTAGGAGGCTATGTCCTGTATACATTTTATTTTTAAGAATAGTTTTCTCTTTTTTAATTAACTTTACATTTGTATACCGTTAATTTCACTGGGGAAACAACCCCCCCCCCCCTCCCATTAACAATCAACACTGCCGTTACTTCTACCAACACTAATGCTATAATTCAAAAACTTTTCACTTTCTAAGTCCTTCTAATATAAACATATAATCATATGTGTACACTATTGCAACCCGTTACATGGGCCATGTAATAACAGCACCAGGAAGAGGATAGCAAGCCCCCCCCCCCCCCCCCCGTCCATAGAGGTAAATGAATTTCAACAAGTATAATTATAATTAAAATATCATTAATTAATTCAATCTTTGATATGGACTGATAGATCTTTATCACTCAAATTTCAAAGAGAATCTTTCTGCCCAGTCCTCAGTTTCATCTTATAAGATGGTAGTTTACATTGTTAGAATTTTAATGTTTATTCATTGAGGATTAGTTATCTTTAATTATTTCTACGTTGACAAGATAATAAACTTCATTGGCTTTATTGAATGTGGTATTCTACAAACATATAATACAAATAATAAATAAATATCATGTAAATATTCCAGTTTAAAACCCATCTCTATTGTACTCTTTCATAATATGAGGGTGGCATCTTTAAGACGTAGTCCCGTGTAGATGTCTTTTGCATTCATCACTAAAGTTGTAGCCTAGTTTTCAGAAGAAAGGGCTGTAGTGATAACCCAAGTCTGTGAATGGAAAAATGAAATAAGATATAAGAAAATCAATGACGACTAATAACACACACCCTGATACCTGCTCAGAAAAAGGAAGGATTGAAATTCACTTGGGGTTCTATTGGGCAAACCGAAACTATTTTTCGTACAAGACTAGTTTCTGACCACATTTTAGATTATTTCTGATGATCCCATTGAGACGATAGGACTGCTGGAGTTTGGTTCAGACAAGGTATGAAATAAGTAATACAATGTACTTGTGATGTAAACTCGTGCTCATTATTGAATAATACTCGGTTAAAGGTAATACAAAGTTTGACGAAATTTTGAAAATTGGGTGGATAGTGATTCTTTACAATTTTGATATATTTGAATGCCCCTGTGGATGTATTATAAGCACTAGAAAACTTAGCCTCTAAAACACTTCTGCTTTCGAGAAAAATTGAATATAAATATTTACTGGTGCTCCCGGTAAATTTTGATAAATTTCAAATGGTAGCTGCGACCATGAAAATCTCAGAATATGTAGATGTGATATATAACTTCCAAACGAGAATAGCAAATTGGTCGATTTTAGTCAAGAAAATTTTATATCTTGACCTTGAGAGGGAGCTATACAACATAAAGAGTTTATTATTTACAATTTCATAATTTTAGACTCGATTACAACCGCGACAACGATCACTGAATATTGTAGGATCTCATATGCGTCCAATATGTTCATTTGAACCAAATTTATGACCCCATACTAAAACTGTGTGTCCCATACTTAAGTATGGGACATAAAATGACCAAACAACTTGGACCAGAGAATATACTGGAAATAATGCTACTAAAACACACGTAACGTAGACTTATATTTCATCTATATTGACATTTAATTTTTAATCTAAATCACAATTGTGATATTCAGTCAATTATTCTTTTACAAGTCAACTGACAATGAAAAATATCTTCGTCAGATCTATAATTTTCTGCATGACATGTGTTCCACAAAAGTTTATTGGGGTACCTACATGTATATTAGCACACTTGCTCGTATGAAGTGTAGTAGGCCCGCATCTCTAGATATGATCCCGTCAATATCTCTTCTTTGTTCCTCTCCTGAGTTTGTAAACCAGCATGCCTTCATCACCCACTGTAGAGAAGCATCATCCTACATGACAGAAAACAAAGTAGGTACTTCACTGATACTAATGGATACATATCAACCATAATACATCCTATAAACAGACTTTCATCTTATTTTGTGTTCTTCTTCATCTTCATTGTAAGGAGCCCTTACAAAAAAGTAATGAGGGGTCCTGTGTATACCCTACATGTAGTGCTTTGGATGTGGATTAGATATGGCTCTTCTACACACAGGCCCCCCCCCCCCCCCAACTCAAGTGTCGGCAGGACCGCATGCGTATTCCCAAAATGTCCAGTAAAGGGGTAGTTTTCACGAAGTCTGGCTCATAGTACACAAAAATCCGGCCCGTATTGACTTTACACACCAGACTTAGTGGGGGGGGGGGGGGGTTTTTCAAAAGGAGGGAACACGCATACCAGACCCCAAATAACACTGAGTGGGGGGGGGGGGGGGCGGGCACACAGGACCTCCTTTAAATAAGGACACATTTTCCTTTGTAAACCAAAAAAATTAAAGCAACAATATTTCTCTTTCCTTATCTTCTTCTCAACCCCACATGCAGCTCATCATTTAGTATTTTTTTCTGTACCCTCGATCTCTCACTTCTTTTTGTCATTGTCTACTCTTTGTATAATTATGACCATGTTCTTCTATCTTTGTCGTGAAAAGTATTGTCTTGTCCCTTCCTCGTCTCTGTTGGCATCCCCATTTTTCTTTCCCCTATTTTGTAGTTCCTTTTGTCATTACAGAATAGTAAATTTAATTACTCATTATTCCTAAGTTTCATTTGAGGTGTTCACACTTGTACAAGCATTGCTTTTTAGTGGACCCCTCTGTTTCCAACATGTATTTCTTAAATTTGTTTTAAATGCTTATAATTATTTGTAATGTTTTGTTGGAAATGTGAATAAATTTGAAATTGAAATTGAAATTGTATGCTAGGTGCAGAACTAGAATAAAATATACCCTCCACTATATACGATAATAATAATAATAATAATAAAAATGTTACTTATAAAGCGCTCACCACCGAAGTCTCTAAGCGCTATAATTGCAACGTCAACTTAGTTCCATTTATTTTTTTTAGTGAATTAATTCATGTAGGTGATCGTTTAATATTTGTGTGCTAAATAACCTGGTAATTTTACCTGCATGGGACTTTCTGCTTCATGTTGTTAACTTCTTTCAGCTCTTTAGTTTCAATCTGTTGGAACAAAAAGAAGGAAAAAAACCAATACAATAATCAAGGCATCCCTTTCTCCTTAACAATAAAATAGATCAAGCATAATAGCTATTTTTTATGTCATGGTTGGCCTTAAATTTAACATGGTGTGGAAATCAACATTCCTATTTAATGAACCACAGTACAAAGTAAAACTAATGGAATATTTCACTTGTACCTCACACAGTGCTTTCTATGGCCTATGAGCACGAAGAAGTACTAAGTAGAATTAGTTTATTATAACAAGAAGAGGTGGACTACAGATAAGTAAACATAATTGTGGACTAGGGGTCATTTCTTATACAACGTCCAACAAAAATATATTTATCAACATGAACTGCACAATTTGGAAACAAATCTTTAATGTAGACTCCCTATGAATATGAGTTATGACAACTAGTCAAGCATGCTGGACCCACACAAAATCTAAACATTAAATAAACAAATCCTAGTTGTTGTTTTTTGAATATTTTTATTAATAAGTTCCAGGTTTACATCTAGATCTAGGGGTCTAGGGGTAGTGAGTACCTCAACAGAGTCCACGTCTAGAAGAAGGGTCTACTAAAGATTTTAACAAGAATTAACCCACTTGGATTATTAAAGAAATCATAGACTACTTCATAGATTATTTCAAGGTGTACGTTAAATCTAGATTTAAATTCAATCAATGATTGGTGAATTAGATTCATGATGACGATCAAATTTGCAGATGAGCACCGCAATTCCACGGGGTGGGCCTGCCGGAACCCCGGGCCCTAACTGGGTGACATGACGGCAAACCGCAGTCAAACTACTTCACGACGATGAAAATCAAAGTGCAATTTAAAGAGAAATATTTCCCTAGCCTTTTCCCCAAATATCTGTTGAGAACAGTCTCAAAAAGAAAAGAAATTACCGAAGATCACGAAAACTATTACAAATTTTTCAAAATTAATCACTAAATTCACTAAATCTACTCATATTGCAATCAATTACTCACCCATTCTCCGACTTTGTTGTCAGCTAGCTAGGCGCAGGCGATACGTATACTCGTACACACAAATCATACATATTACGGTGACGTCATGACTAGTCTTAGTAACAAGCGCTTGCAATTATACAAATATTGATTAAACACTCACGTCACGTTTTGGAAGACGTGATCATTCGTGTTTTACCGGCGTGGAAAACAACGAATGGTAGACCCTACACTTCGTAAATTAGAGTCACCTATTTTACGAAACAGCGCAAAACGTGATACGTGAACGTGAGTGTTCGTTGCAAGCCCCTTTTAAGTGCCTGTTTGAATTTATATTTCATCAATCATATCCTTCAAAGGGTGATAAAATCCGTCGTTTAATATTTGCAACACATCAAAAGTGACGTTAATTATCTTTGAAGCACAATGTCTCTCGTAATAACCATTAGCAATTACTGCCCAAAGTATCATCCAGCATCTAGCTTTTGCTAAGATTGGCGAGAGATCCGCTCATTATTTTGAAGAGATACGAGTATTGACAGTTTGTTGGTTATCCGTTAATTCGCTCATTATATTTTAGAGGTACGAGTATTAACAGTTTGTTGGTCATCACAAAATTACAACTAAAAGGCTCTTTCAGACATGTGGCGAAAAACAGCGGCGTTTTTTTTTGTTGGTGTTATGGTGACGTAAAGTGCGGTTCGCATTTCTATACCTTATAACACAGACCTCAGTGAATACGTGCAAATCCTTTGTTGCGCGTTTTACACATTAACAAAAACCCTATGAATTTTTTTTTTGCAGTGGTTTACCGCGCCATATCTGAACATACCCGCTATTTTATTCGCATCCTGCATCAGTGAACAGAATTTTCGGCATTACATTCGCTGTGAGGAGTGTGGGGGTATCTTGAAGAAACGGTCTTGCACATCCCAATTTCTCCTCACTATTCAAGACCTTTCCAATGGACTTGACTCGAGAGACCAGACAGATGTAATCCTGTTGGACATATCAAAGGCTTTTGATAACGTTCCGCATGGAAGACTCCTCCATAAGATCCACTACTATGGAATCCGAGGTATTACCCATAGCTGGGTTGAGGAATTCCTTACAAGACGCTCACAGAGGGTCTTACTTGATGGCTGCACTTCTCACACCTCTCCCGTCCTGTCGGGCGTTCCCCAAGGCAGTGTCGTCGGGCCTCTTCTCTTCCCGCTGTTCATCAACGATCTTCTTGACTACATATCAGTCCAGTCTACGGTGAAATTGTTTGCAGATGACTGTTTGAAAAACTATACCTACAGATACACTCTTTTAAAGTATACTTTAAAATATACATCATAACATTGTTTTATATATATATATATATATATATATGAAAAACTTCGTGTGGAATCGTTTCGATTGCACATATTTCTTGGGGGAACTGGGAACTAAAACTGGGATATTATATATATATATATATATGCATCTCGTTGGACAATGTTCCTCTTCGCATTTTCAATATATATATATATATGTGTGTGTGTATAAATATTTATATACATATTGCTAGGTGCCTTTTGTTTACCATACCATTTCTTTCTTGTTTAGCAGATTTGACACTGTAAAGTAAAGTGAGAACAATGTGTCCAAATCGTTGTTGTATTCAACAACAATTTTCAATCTCTTATAATAATGTAGAGAATTTCTCTAAAAAGAAAAAGTTCTTGAAATTGGCACGAATACTTTTTCCTGGTATTTCCTGGTATAAACTACAAATATGATACTGAAGGTGACGCACGTGTTAAACTTCGTTAAAGTTGAAGTTTAAAAATAGATTTCGTTTAATAGTGTCTGATTTTTTTACGCATAATTTTTTATACAGTCAGTTATCACAATGAGGTATATCCCAGTAGACCGACTGCCTAGAAGAAATTTCAAAAAAATCCCACGAGACCGACAAAACAAAAAATACTTAGATAAAAAACAAAAATGTTGGTCTTAATCTCCGCATCGTACTTTTATCAGACTGCATTCGTAAGGGGCACAGTAATTAAGCAAGTTTATCATCCGTCGATGAGTCCAATGAGGAGAAAACCCGGGGAAATGTAAATGAAAGTCATTCCACTGAAAATGTTGTCTTTTTTGTGTGTTATGTTTTTGTTTTTGTTGACCAATTAGGTCTTACACATAATTATTGAAGAAAACGGGGGTTTAATGTCCGATGCTTAGCAAAGGTCGTTAACAGGGATTACGAAATGGGTTTTTAAAAAATGTAGCCAATGAGAAGCGTCTAAATCGATCAAGTGTGCGTGCAATATTTGTTACCACAAGCACAGGGAGCGGACTTTGGTGAAAACAACCGTATTAAGCTTCTAATGATAATAATGATATGTCTTGTTACCCAGGATAGCACTGCAATCATATTATTACCCCGGTCATCGGATTCAGGCTTATCCGCACACAATGTACGCACATTCTCCACTCCCAGGGGAGCATTCCAAAATACCCTATAAGACAATTACCCCCCCCCTTTTTTTTAATTAAAAGGTAAGTCCATCCTGAAAAGTTAGTCATAATAGAAGCAGAATTTTTCGGGGGGGGGGGGATTTTCCCGCTGGAAATTCGCCGGGGGTGATAGTCAGGCGCGTATGCAGCGGGGGGGGGGGGGGGGGGGGGGGTTAACCCCTCGTTACGCGATTTTTTTTTGAGTCGTTTTTGGGACAAAAAAAATGTGCTCTTATCCCCCCCCCCCCCCCGCTTATTCAGCGGCTGGCTGAGGCGTTGCGAAATTTTCAGCCCGATTTACAAATCGCCCCTCCCCCTTGAAAAAATCCTGCGTACGCCACTGGTGATAGTCCAAGGGGTTAATTGTCCTAGAACCCCAGCAGAGTCGTCATTTTCCTAGTAAAGTGAGAACAATCTGTTCCAATCGTTGTTTTTAATCAAAAACTTTTTTCACTCTAATATAATAACGTAGGGAATTTCCCTAAAATAAAAAGTCCTTGAAATTGGCACGAATGTATTTCCTTGTATATTTTTTGTGTATACAGTCACCTTTCTTTTTTTCTTTTTATTTTAATTTCGTGTTTTTAATGACAAATAAGATCTTACACATAATTATCGAAGAAAATGTGGTATAATGTCCGATTCTTTTCAAGAGGTCGTTAAGAGGGACTTTAAATATCACCCACTTATGTAAAGAGAAAGGAAAATACACGTTTAGTTTATTCAAACTTTTGTATATATTTTTTATTCACATATTGCAATATTACCTTATCGATGAACCTTTGTAAATTGGTTGACCAGTGGAATCGTCATTTTCCCAGTTGTGGTTATGACTGAAATACTTCCTCTAAAATGTTTATTGTTTCCTCGAATATCAAAGGCTGTGACACAAAACGTTCGGGTCAGACGAACCGAACGCTGCACCTCCGGGAAGTTATCTTTTTATCATCGAAACTGGTCGAGACTCCCACATTTTAGAACTACACAAAACGACTGGCCAGACAGTATCCACTGCATTCAATTGTATATAAATGAGAGCTAAATTTAGTACCAGTGATTAATTTTTTTCGCAAGTATTATATAGGAGGTGTGGTGGGTGAGGTGTTTCATTTGTGGTATAGTGGATACATTTGATGGACTGTGGTCACATGGTTTGCGGTTCAAGACCCAATCACGGCACTCATGTCCTGCGACAAATATAATATTCGCCAATTTCCACCAAAGTGCAATAGCGTTATTCCATGAAAATTTTATCCGCATAAGGGCAGTGGAGCAGCGTTAAAGTAGTAGTAGTAGTAGTAGTAGTAGTAGTAGAAGTAGTAGCAGTAGTAGTAGTAGAAGTAGTAGTAGTAGAAGTAGTAGTAATAGTAGTAGTAGAATTAGTAGTAGTAGTAGTAGTGGTAGTAGTGGTAGTAGTAGTTGTAGTAGTAGTAGTAGTAGTAGTAGCAGCAGGCCCACTGAGCCTCCCCTCGGATGGATATTACTATTATACATGTAAATCAATCGGTGATCCGTCTTGTACACTGGCGAAATCTACTCCGGGCTTAAATTGTTAAAGAAATAGGGTCAGGGCTTCGCTTCATTACAAAGCTGCAAATGGTTGAAGTAAATAGATGAACAGGAAAGAAGAACATGACACTAAAAAACGAACTCTACGACGAAATATGCGTTTTACCAAACCAAGGCAAATTAATTAGATACTTAGGCCAAAAAAAAATTGTTTGGTTGTCCTCGATTGCTATTCTGGGCGGGCGGATTTTTTTTTTTTTTTTTTTTTTTAATAACTTTTTTCCATAAAAAAAAAATCATTGGGATTGTCAAGCATTCAAACAAACAAAGTCTATAAAACACTTTAATATGGTAAAAACTAGTTTAATGTACAATGAATATCAAGACCAACACAGAAAGTATTTTGGGCTTTGAAATACAGCACCTTTTAAATCGCCATTGTACTACTTATAGCTACTTGCGCCCTCTATGTAGCAAATAATGCCTAATCGGTAACCATTGGTCCCCCATTATCCTCTGTATCTTATATTAACTGAGAGCTGATTTGATGAGATAACCACCTGTCCAGTGACCTTGCAGGGTGGTCTAATCCCTCCTGTAATCTAGTACAGATGGGCTTTAAAATGAGTTTAAGAATGCTCAGAACCTGATTTGAATGAACGACATTTTGACATAGAAAAATAAAAATGGCAAGTTCAATAAATACCTAATTGCGTACTGAAAAAGACCATCCTGGCAACGGGACGCATTTTGATCCTTTCAAATGCATAAAATGGTATGGTTGGCATTTAAGATTGCTCCCCCCCCCCCCCCTCCAAAAAAAAAAAAAAAAAAAAATTGAATAAAAAAAAAAAAAAATGAATTAAAAAAATATTAAAAAATACGAGCGGCCCGAAAATGACGAGCAGGCGGTCGAGGACAACCAAATGATTTTTTGGGGGGCCTTACAGGAAGAGACCTCCATTGAAACTATCACGAGGTGGCGCTGTCACGTACAAACTGAAGAGAGAAATTGTTTCACGGAAATTTTCCAAGGGGTAATTGTCCTCGTTTGGTGGTTGTCTCGGGGGGGGGGGGGGGGGGGGGGGTAAATGTCTTGGGGGGGGGGGGGGTAATTGTCCCCCCCCCCTGGATCCGCCACTGCCAGGCAGAG